CTGCTCGGAGGGCCGCGGAGGCTCGCTGTGAGTGCGCGCAGGGACGAGATAGGAAGGAGGGCGGAGCCTACGAGGGAGCAGGAAGGGGAACCTGAAGGGGAAAACGAGGGGCGATGATGGCCCTGGATGGCCCCAGGACGCTGCGGATAACAGGAAGAGGTCCAATAGCGGTCGAAGAACATCGAGGACCTCGGGGAGGATTAGGAACGTAGCGGGGAAAAAGGATCATAAGGAGAAATAGTACTGAGCAGGAATCTGAGGAACGCCGAGGAGTCAAGGATAGTGGGGCCTGATGTTGTTGAATGCTCATTTCAACAACTGATTTTTAATGATCCCTCCATCGGGCAACATGTGTTTTTCAACTCAAGTGTCTTTCGGGCTCGCACCCAGATTGTCACAAGGGCAAATATTCAGCCTCATACTGGGCCCCTGGTCCCCGAACAACGACGACAACAACACATACAACAACACCACCACCAACAACAACTACCCGGTACAACAACAATCATTTCCAGACTGTTCGCTCTTATCAACTCGTGCGCCATTCAACACGTATATCCCAAACCCTCGATACCCGCCCTCTTCGTCTTCGATCGTGACCACAGCAACACCAAGAACACCACCACCACCAACAACAACACCAACAACAGTACCAACAATAACACCACCACCACCATCAACAGCAACACCTGCAACTTCACCATCACCACCAACAACAATAACAACAACCACAACCATACTAAGACTGTTCGCTTCATCTGCTCGCATGGAATTCAATGCGCATCTCCAAAACCCTCGATACCCGCCCTCTTAGTTTTCGATCGTGCCCCCTTAGGGATTTACTTACCTGCAACGTGTATTACGAGCAACCCCTAAGGTGGGAAGAGAGGACGGACGGAAGGGAGGAGCAAGAGCGAGGGTGAAGGATAAGCACGAGAGAGAGAGAGAGAGAGCGTAGCAGGAGGGGGGCTAGGAGCAGAAAGCGCGTGGCAAAATCAGATGGGCAGATCGGGCGGGTAGACCCTAACGCCAACCAAAAACATGTGGCGTCTCCGGCTGCGCCCTTGGCCCTCGAACTACCACAACAACGGTTCTCGTTAAACACTTCCTCGGGATTTACCCATATCGCGCACTTGCGCGGGACTTCCTCAACATGTATCCAAGAATGCCGCTCTCGCGTTGATATTTCCCCACGCTCCATTCAGAATCGCGCTCTCGCGCGATGCTTCCTCGCAACTTACTGACATGCCGCGCGTTCGACACTCAAGAAGGACACTCTCGCCTTTGACTTCCTTGCGACTTACTTGGGGGTCGCGCTATGGTTCGAGACCTCCTCGTGATTCTCGGGCCGGGCGGAAGGGGGGGCTTGAGAATCAGCTCGCGCAGCTACTTTTCCCAGCGCCTCCCGGCGCCAGGAGGCGCCCATGCATCGAGGAATGGGCCCGGCGGCGGGGCCGAAATCAGCTGCATGCAGCTATTCCCCACCTTTCGTTCGGCCCGAGGTTCAGACGAGACGCGCGCTTCAACGACCCGCCCGCCAGACCTGGCCGTCCGAGCTCGCCTGCCCGACCCGCCCCTTGGGTTCTGCCGCTTGCTCTCTCCTGCTCCGGGCCCCCTCCCTGCTGATTTCTCTCGTGCTCCGTCTGTCTCCCTCCCCCTTGTCAAATTCCCTCCTCCCTCCTTTCCCCTGTGTTAGGGGCTGCGCCAATTACGCGTGGAAGGGAAGGACAATAACACCCAAAAAAAGGGGCACGATCAAACACGAAGAGAGCGGGTAACGAAGGCTCAGGGTGTGTATGTCGATTGGCGCGCGAACGTCTGAAAGCGTCCGATGAAAGCGTTATCCTCGTTTCCACAAGTTTGTTATTAGTGATCCTCTCATTGGTGTCCATTGCGTTTTGTTCAATCGATGTGCATCCTGGGCCTCACACCCTGTCACTTGTCAAAGGGAATTTTGGTTCTCCTATTGGATTATTGGCCTCCGACCTCCAAACTACATTAACAATGGCTTCCGCCTGGTAGTTCCTCACAATCAATTCAAAATCGCGCTCTCGCGTGGTAGTTCTCTGCTGTTTTTCCAGCCGCCGCGCCCTCGACGCTCAGGAATCGCTCTCTCGTACTTTCGCGACTTACTCAGGAATCGCGCCTTCGCACGAATCATCCTCGCGATTCACGCAGGACCCATACTTCAACAGTCCGCCTGTTCGACCTGGCCGTCTGGGTCCGCCTTCCCGACCCGCCCGTCAGGGTCTACCCGCCCGATCAGCCCGTCTGGTTTTGCAACGTGTTTTCTGCTCCTCACCCCCCTCCCGCTCATCTCTCTCGTGCTCCATCCTTCTCCCCCCCTCTTTGTCCCTTCCGTCCATCGGTCTTATCTTCCCCTGTTTTTGGGGTTGCCCCAAATACTCGCCGATCGAAAACGCAATGTGCGGGCATCGCCTGTTTGGGATCTATTTGATGAGTGGCGCGCGAGCAGACAAGAGCAAACCATCTTGAAATTATTATTGCTGGATGTTCGCTTCTACGCGCGAAGTATTGTTGATCCTTCCTGCCCAGTGCCCATTGGGCCTTTCAATCGAAGCGCTACCCCTGGAGCCCGCATCTTGTCATCAAGCAAGAATTCTTGGCTTTCAGATTTGTCGGCCCCCGAGCTACAACATCAATCGTTCCCGCCTGACAGCTTCTCACAGTTTACTTCAGCAGCCCGCTCTCGCGCGGGATGCTTATGCTCATGATGATGCTGTGCTGGGGCCGAGTGGCCTGATGAGGCTGAAGTTGTCGACTCCTGCCTCCATGCCGCCACAAAAAATAGATACTGCTGCCTGCTGCCGCTGCTTCCGTTGGGTTGACCTGGTGAATGCATCGAGAAGTTCAACGGCCTGATCTTGAGCTTGGAAGTCAGAGCCTGCGAAGTTCCACCCGTCCTGGTGGTCCTCTGCATCAGCGGCCTGATACCACAGCGACTGCTCTGGGATGTCCCAGCCTGCGTCGATGAGGTAGTGGATCACCGCCGTGAGGGGGCCACGAATGTGCCTCGCTCGGTGGCGAGGTTCACGCTGCTGGAAGAAAGAGACCGTGGCACCCCAGACCTTCGAGATCGGAGCCCGAACCCGCGGGACATCCAACCGTGCTCGTAGCCATTCGGCCAGGCACTGGCGGGGCAAGGCGAACCCAGGGTCGGCTCCTGGGGCTCGAATGTCTAGCAAAGTGGTAAGGCACCGACCTCGCCTATGCCCTCCTGTGACGGCGCCTAGCCGCCGACGTAGGTGGGTCAGCGAAGTCGAAGGAAGTCCATGAACTTGATGCCCGTGCCGAGCTCCTGCCTGAGGTCCAGCTAGCTCCACCTTCTGCAGAACTCTGAACCTCTTGGAAGCTAAAGCATACCGACGGACTTTGTTGTGCTGCTTGAGAGTCGTGACATTTTTTTTTTTTTTTTTTTTTTTTTTTTTTTTTTTTTTTTTTTTTTTTTTTTTTTTTTTTTTTTTTTTTTTTTTTTTTTTTTTTGTTTTTTTTTTCTTTTTTTTTTTCTGACGTGTCGCTCTCCCATGTCCCTTTCCACTGGCTAAATCGACACCAAGGTATGAGATCTGAGGAGCTGCGGTGATTGAAATACCGCGAGCTTGCAACCTCTTCTGGATTCTCCGGGCGCCCCTCATGTCAGAACAAGCGGTGGTGCTTTGCTTCGCAAGTCTGAGAGAATGCTCGTCCATAAGGTTACTCGCGCAAGTAATACTTTCCACTAGATCGTTGCAAACCGAAGCCCTTGACCCCGCGGCTGTCTGTGAAAGATCATCTATCCAGAGTCGCTCCGACAGCCGTGGGTGGCACACTGTGAGGCGTGCCATCGCCATGTTGGTGACCAACCACTTTGGCGAACCTCGTGCCACTCCTGAGTCCTTGAATAATACTTCTCGTGCATTGGAACGGCCGCGAAACGGCGTCGCCTTGCTCCAAAAGACGAGGACCTGAACAAATTTGGAGCTCGAGGCCGAACATAACAAAAGGAAAACCGTCTCTACGGGCTCCGTCCACAAGCACCGACCACTCCATTTCATCGTGAAACGATTGTATGTCTAGTAATGCGTGTCCGTGAGAAGCCTTCATCTTGGTGAAAAGCTCCTCGTCGAGCGCCCGAAGGTAGGCCTCGCGCAAAGCTGAGTTGCCTGCGATGGCGGCCTCCCAGTCGGGTTGCCCAGCACTGGCCCATTCTCGAATGAGGGGTTCCCGTGATAAAGACCATCTCCTGCAAATCATGCAAATGAGCCCGATCACGCGGTTGCCAGAGCTTTCTTGGGCAAGAGACGCCCTAGCACTGGCAGGAGTTGCCGGGGCCATGTCTGGCATTGTTCACACATGGTATAGATGACAGACAATTAATTCATCGAGCGCCTGCTGTGGTAACCTTTCGAGGTCTATCGGTGATAGCCGATCGACCCCTTGACCAGCCCGAGGTCGCATTCGTCGAACTGCCGCACGAATATCGTCTGCTGTAAGAGGAGTCAAAGGCTCAGATGCTGCATGCCACCGAATACGTTCGAAGAGCTCTTGAACCCCTGGCACGGTCTGCTTGACGCGGGACGTCCACAAGGTATGCCAATGAGCTGCCTTGTGGTCGACTACGTCCTTGGGCTGGAAAATGACGGCCTGGTCCGAACCGGCCGAAGTTGGAAACTCTACAACTGCGAGAGGAGACTCTTTAGTAGCTCGGAAGATGAGTCCAGAGTGCTCCTGTTTTCCTATCCAATCTTTGAAATCAGTCAAGGAGGCCGAAAATGCATGACTGCGAGCCCGTTGGGCAACTCGTTTCGCTTCAGCTGCGTATACGTCCAGCTGCTGGTAGGTGATGTCCCTGAGCTCGAGCCAAACTGTGAGCCAAGATGTCCATGTGGTGGCGTCGGGTGATCTGCCTACGGACTTGCATGCGCAACCTGGCGGCTGCCCTGCAAGCTTGGCCCCTGCCACGGCGAGAGCCTCTGACTGGCTACGTCCGTTCGCCCGTC